TAAACCCTAAACCCTAAAGAAGCTGCGGGTCGCAGTCCCCAAACCTTTCGGCTCCTAGGGGGGGCGGGGCGCCTCGGCTCAGAAAGGCTTTGCTGCCTGGCACGGTGGGGGGGCATCGGGATGTCATATCGGGGGCCTTAAAGGGTTTAGGGTTAAGGGTTTACGATTTACGGTTTAGGGGGTTAAGGCTTCAGGGTTTAGGGTTTAGGGGGCCTTAATAAAGAAGAATAGGGTTCCTTCAGGGCTCCCTTAAAGGGTTCTGTAAAGAACTACTTCAGTAAGGTTTGGGGGTAGACTATACAATGCACTTGTCAGCCCTAAACCCTAAACCTTAACCCCCTAAACCCCTAAACCCCGAAACCCCGAAACCCTAAACCCAGGGGTTTACAGGCTTCAGGGATTTAGCACTCGGGGCGGATTTAGGGTCCCGGCTTGAACCGCTCCTGTATGAATCGGTGGCTCTGTCATGTTCACTATAGATCCCTTATATTAGAACCCTATAAGGATCCCTCCTAAGGAACCCTTTAAGTTACTAAGTCGTATGAACCCGGACAACCGGTTCCGGAGAATTCACAATTGGGACTTCCGGCATGAAGCTGCACTCATTGCACGAGCCGCTTCCCAGTCCCAGACCCCCAAAAGGATCTAAAAATGGATCCCCTAATTAGGGACCCTAACTACTAAAGGGTACTTTATAGGAGCCCCCTTAGGGGATCTATTTTGTAGATCCTTTTGGGGGTCCGGGGTGTGAATGCCTGGCAATCCTGTGGGCGAGACGGTGGAGCCTGAGAACGGTGTAGTCAACTTTACTTGTGAACTTCTTCTGGGAATCTAGTGGCGCACCTAAACCCTGAACCCTAAACCCTTGAAGCCAAGGCTTAGATACTCCAACCGGTTGGTGTCCAAGTTTTTGTTGGATCCGTGTGGTTGCGGTCAAGAGTTCAGAGCTCCAGGCTTAAGACTCCGGGCTGTATGGTTTAGGGTTTAGGGTTTAGGGTTTACCCCGTCCTGAGGCAACTTTTCCCTGCAAATTTCACAAGCGGGATCCGCACTATTTCCACATAATTTGACCAGGAATTTATAATCTAATGTGACCTAAATCTATAGGTTAATCTTATTAATGGTTCCCGATAGTTCATATTTAGTGGTACATTTCTGTCATTAGGAACCATCTATAAAATACCACTATAAGTGACCTATATTTCTAGTTCATATTCTGTGGTAACTGGTAGTTGTAACCCTATGGTAACTTCTAATTGAATAATGACTAGGAATTTTTAACCTATACACAACTATATTTTTAGGTGCTTTCCTTTGACATTTTCTAGGTGCATTTGTGTGATTGAATGCAGGGGTTCGTGGCTTCCTTGTTTGTTCCTTTGCGTTTAATTGTAAAGGAGAAAAGCGTATGCACGAATTAAACGCACCGAACAAAGAAGGAACACCAAAAGAAGCAAAACAAAGAAGTGAAACACGCGTCCCTTGTTTTCCCTCTTTGTTCTATTAATTTGAGTCTTTTGCCCCTGGAATCCATCCCACCCGTCAGCCTTGATTCCCTTTGTTCCTTTGTTCTAATTCATTAAAAGACAAGGGAATGAGAACGAAATGAAGGGACGCGTGCTTTTAATGAATTGAACAAAGAGGAACAAATGAAACAAAGCAACAGGACCAAATTAAACACCGATGAGTCGTCGTCTTCAGTAGGATTAGCATGGACTAGCGAGCAAGTCTTTTGCTGGAGTTAGAACCAGATACTGGGAACTACCACAGCAACGACACGTCCCTCGGTAGCGGGAGTCAGGTTCAGGATTCTGTTAGACTTCGGAGCTTAGGGTCAAGAGGATTGGGAGTCCGATGCTCCCTCAAATGCCTTTGCCAAGCTTTGGTGAAGCGAGGCCTCTGGATGGCACACGAGGTAGCGCGCCAGATTCGGCACGTACTGTGGAAAGGCCTCGCGTGTGCAGGCCTGTTGGGTTGTGAGCGAAGGTTGTACCAAGTTCTTTCAAGTTCTTGTGAATATTGAATAGGGAGTCAAAGTTCAATCCTTCAGGTAGCGGCTCATGGCGGTGTGAGTTGTTGCGGTTTGTTTACCGATGGCTTCGCTTTTGTTGGGCGGGGTTCCGGGGAGGGCAAACTGGGGTACGGGCAAGTCGAGGTTTTTCACGTAAGGCTTGCAGACTGAGCTTCAATGCTTGGGTTTGGAGAGGACTAGGGAGACATCACGAGAGCTGAACAGTTTCCAGAGCCTGTGGCCTCTGTCCTTATGAGCATGTTGTACATCTTTGTTACCCATGGCTCGATGAAAGGATTCCTAGAAACACATTTTAAAGCGCACTGTAGCAACAACACGGAATCCGAATCTACGGCGCACCATGTCGAGTTCGACGTCGCCCGCGGTGAGGCCTCGAGAAGCCAAAACCAAGGCAACCGGCTTTGAAGGCTCGGGAACGAGGCAACTGGTGGGTAATGTGCCCACGCGGAGTTCCTGTTCAGGTTTAGGGGTGATTCTGCGAAGGATGCATGTCCGGTTTGAATTCGGGATTTCGGAACTGTGGTGCGAGACTCGAGCTTTACGAGGGTCGGAAAGCCAACAAGATGCGGCTGGGGGGGGCGCTTCACGGGCCCAGGAGCATTGCTCGAATTTGGTGGTGCTGAAGGACTGAGATAGTCTGCAGTTACTAAAGCCTAAAGCTCCTGCGCTCCAGCTGTGCACCCTCAAGCAGCCTTCCAAGTGTCGGTGTCGGAGGTTTTGGGCATCCGGGCCATCGAGAAAGGCGGCGCAAACCTCGGCATCCTCGGCCACCTTTGGGTCGGGCACCTGGTTTCAAGCTCCAGCATTACAGGTTTACTGCGAGAGTTTCGGGGTCTTAGGCTATTCGTGTTTGTAGCTGTTGAGTGAGCTGGGCATTTCGATGTTGTGGTACTGGTACTTGAGCTCGAAGCACCGGCCGCTTGTCAAGTAGTTTTTGTGGCTCAACCTCCGTAGACAGAGCTAAAGGATGCTGTTGAAACCTGCAGATCAAACAGTTTGGAGGGCGCCAATATGCCGTTTGGGTTCCCTGCTTCCTTTCTCTGGGTCCGATGAGCGGCATGACCAAGCTCAGTACTTCTTGGGGTTGGGGTTGGGGTCAGGCTGTGTTCTGGGCAGGAGCCACGTTGAACCCTGAACCTCAACAGCTCCACAGTTCCCGCATCCTAATCCGGACCTAGAGCTGAGCTGCGGAAGCCGCACCGGATGCCTCAACCAGAAAATGTCTACAGCACCCGAGATAGCAACCGTCAATCCGAAGCCCAAATATCCTCTGGAAGGCCTCGATACCGTCGCCACGGAGCCATGAAGGCTCCTTGAGGGACATGAATGTCGAGGGACCGGCTTTAGATTATCAGGGCTTTGGGGGATTCAGGTGGGCCGTCGCTGCCGAGGTGTCAGCTGTTGAATCGTGTTGGTTGAGAATGAAGACTGGGAGCTGCTCGCGTGTTCCCAGCGCGTTCGTTTATGCGTCCGTGGTGCATCTGGCCTATGTTGTCCATGTACTCCTGTGGGACCACGGCTTGGGTTACGAGCATCGATTGTCGAAAACGGTGCATGTGGGCGTTCGGAGTTTCAAACTTGCAGGCGACATACGAGTCCAATCCACCACAAACCGGCAAAACCTGAATGCTGGATCTAGGGCATGAGGCAGGTCTAGGTTCTCTTTGACAAGGCGACCTCCGTCCCGAAGCTTGTTCAGATGCAGAAAAACTTTCTCAGGGCTTGGGAGTTAGAGTGAGGCTTGAGCTGCCCTGAACTATGTTCACTTGCAGGTTCTTTGATAGGAACATTATCTACTCAAGGAATCGGAACACACACCTTAAGGAGGGAACCTCAGACTGACACGGCCACGCGACTATCAACTATCACGTCAGAGGAGGGCCGAGTGTACACGGTTCCAGCCCCATCCCCTGAAATCAAGGCCCAAACCTTCGATTCACTGTTAAGGATTTTTGGGGTGCAAGGTTTTGGGGTTCAAGGTTTTCGAGCTTAGGCGTGGAGCCCTTACTGTACGCAACGGGAAATATGTGCCAGGTGGCGGTCTCGTCGTCCTCACTCATCGGCTCTAGCTCAGCCTGTTGTCAAACAAAGACTCGGCACCCCCAACAAACCGAAATGTTCAGCAGCAGTCCTAAATTCCTAAATCCTAAACACTCGAACCGTAAATTCGAAGCCCTGGCAGCCGAAACCTGTACGCACCCGATCGTTCAGACAAGCTCTAGGCTCAGCGACAGAGCTTTGGAAATGCCAAGCCCTTTCCTGCGGGTTTCTTCTTTTCCAAACGGTGTGTTCATGGATCTACCTAATTGTTGAGGGTTCTACCGGTGTGTAGGCATGCAGTTGCCGAGTTGGTTTCTTCTAGGTGCCAGGGGGAGGTGGCACATGACATGACAGGGAATCCTGTGCTATTCATTCGCCAACATCAATCCCTACCGCAGCTAAACTTGATATCCAAATCCTTCTAAACCCCTCTGAATTCTCAAGCCCTGAAAGGACCTGTAAAGACCGTCCCGAAGCATACCACAGTAATTGTTGATACTTGCTGTGTTTTTGTACTGTAACATACAATCATACAGAGGAAGGAAGGATTAACGAGCTTGAGCCCGTGTCGTCTCCACGGTACATGCCTCAAAGTCTCTCAGGGCGAGTGCGAGATCCTCGTGGCAACGCGACAAGGGGGGCGCAAAGCCGTCTGTGTGTGTGTGTGTATAAACACATACTATATATATATATATAGACACACACATGAATGTGGGTAGATAGCTTGTGCAAACATGGGCACACATGTGCACAGCACATCCATTACTACATGCATGTTGCATGCTCATTGCCTGCAGACTTTGTGGAAGAAAAAGGGAACGATAGAACGAATGAGGCCTGCATGAAGCCACATGGACTGGCAGAAAGAAAACAAGACAGTCAGGCAGACGAACACATTGCAAGGCTTTAATTTCGGTCTTGACTCGAAGATATGGCATGTTGTTGTTAAGGCTTGTGTCAAGATTTATATGTGCAAGCATTCTGCAAAAATAAACCTTTTGAGGGCTTTGAAAAACAACAACCAAAGCTCCGTAAAGACGAGCGCGGAAAATGGATCTGCTTGATGGTTTCCGTAAGGATAGTTTGCTATGCTCACGAATCATGCTTATTTTGGGCGGGAGCATAGCGAAGACGCGAAGCCCATGATGCAGCGGAGATATCTGCGAATCTGCAGTGGTTTACAAATTACAACGATGCAATCATGCCCTGAGGATTGCATCAGTTTAGGGTGTTTTGCGGGTTCGCGGTCGTCGGGCCCTACAGGTTAGGCGCTTTGTCAGGGTCGGAACGATGGCCTCAGCCGGCGGCTGCGGGCGCCGAAACGGATACCGCTTCGGGATCGGCTTCGGAGTCGGCTTCGGTGCCTGCAGCTGTGGGAGCGGAGCGAAACCGTAGGAACTCCCACACCGTCCTTCGCCGGCTTTAAGTTGTTTCATGTTCCACGGATTTGGGTCAATGAGCGAATTTACAGTAATGAAATCAGTGAGCTGTTGTCCACCAACCTCACAACTGAGTGGACCCTGATTCCCAATCTGAACTCGAATGCTGGAGAAATCACTGCCGAGCGACATGGACTCCAGGTGATGCAAGAAATATTTAATCACTGATGTTGTCTTGAGCAACCCTTCAAAAGCTACAGAGGAAGAGGCGTGACGGCAAGGTACATATCATCAAGGTGGTTGCCCGGCTGCTGCAGACCCCAAACCCTAGACGCTAAGCGGGTGATGCGAAACTCCCTACGACGTGAACACCCGCAAAGAGACATGGGGGACAGACAAAACAGAGAGGGCAAAGAAGATTAAGCAAACACATTTTTTCTCAATCGGGTGCTCCCCACGATGGCTAAGATGGGCCGCCGAAACTTCGCTTGGCCATCATGAAGCTAGATGAAGTCGTCCAATTGTGTGGTGCACGCACGAGAAACCAAACAAGCGTCGATGGCGTGAGCCTGAGCACAGCAGCCGAGCACCGGCCAGACTGGCGTTGGTAGCCACGCGGGAGCGCTTCGCCAAGGGGCACCAAGGCGACACAAGTCCAAACGCCAGGTCTGGGACCCGGGACCAAACCGAACGGGGCTAGGGGTCTCGGGCGCAGGCGTTTGCTGAGCAGCAGTGGAATACACGGAGGCCTCTTGGGTAGAACCTGAACGGCCGGCTTCGGGACTAGCTAAGGGGGCAGGAGTAGAACCTGCGAGCCGGGTTTGGGGCCCAAGAGGCTGCAAGAGCCGCAGACAGCCTGCCACGCAGTGTTTTGCAGAAGTGCAGTTGAAGTCCTCCCGCGAGGCTGTGACAGGCGGCCCGAAGCAGAGCCGATCTGAGGAAGAAGAAAGCCTCCAGGAGAGGCCAAGCGAAGAAGCCCACGAGGATCCTTCAAGTCAGGGAAGGAAGATGCAAATCGAACTCCCAGGAGCTGATAGGCGGTCGGGCAGGTGGTGCAAGAGATGCACAAGAAGACCGACGGCCGACGACGATCCTACGAGTGCCCTAGGGCTCATCCAGAGCACCAACCGAAAAAGCTTCAGTCATTCCGCCAGTCAAAACATGCTAAAGACATATCATCAAGTGGTTGCCCGGCTGCTGCAGGCCCCAAACCCTAGATGCTAAAACGGGTGATGCGAAACTCCCTTCAACGTGAACACCCGCAAAGAGACATGGGGGACAGACAAAACAGAGAGAGCAAAGAACATAAAGCAAAAACAGATCTTCTCAATCGGGCGCCCCCCAAGCCGAAACTTCGCCTGGCCATCATGAAGCTGGATAAAGTCGTCCACTTGGGGGCACACCTTCATGGGCAGCATGGTCGGTTCAAGCGCATGCTGTTTTCGCCGAAACCTCACCGCGTAAAGACTCTTCAAGCTGCCCTGCAATCCGCCACACGTTCCTGGAACCCAACTGTAACGCGAGCAGCCTAGTGCAAGTATGTTTCGCGCGTTAACTTCCCGGGCCGAAATCCAGAGGCCTCGGAGGGCGATCGCAGTGGCTTGGAGCTCAAATCTCCTGTGTCTTGCGGCTGGGTCATTAAGATTCGGGGAGTTTGTCGGACTCAGGGAGTATGTGCCATCTCGGTTTCTGGCTCAAAGCTGAATCTCAAGACCGGGAACCTGAGCATTAAGAGTCAGGAAGTAGAAGTGTCTTCTAGTCTAGGGTTAAGAGACCGGGAGGCTTTCCGATCAGCTCATTACTGCAGATCTGACGAGGCAGATGAGGGAAGGCTCTGGGATAGAAGGGTGCCGCAGGGAGTTGTAGGTGACACGGCTCCAGCTGAAGATCGGCTCAGGTCCAAAGGTCCAAGCTTTAGGCAGGAAGGTTCGGGATACGGGCGAGAGCCCTTGGTCAATTTGGAGAAAAGGCTACGCACAGTGGTTCGTCCCTGAGCGTTCAGAGTCCATCACAACGGCCACACGTAGACCACAACAAAACTATCATAATCTCAAAGCCTCACGTGCACCTACGTCCCACATTCAGAGCTCGGAGCTGTAGATTTCAACTTACAACCTCCTGGGGCTCGGATACCTGCAGGGTACCGGGCATGAGAAGCATGGTCTTTTTGTCATCGCATGGTGGGAGCATTTGGCAAAAAGGTCTTTCTGCGTGACTGCAAGGAAACCCGGTACGGGGCGCTGGAACCGGTCTATACTTGGGTTTCAGGTCTACGAACCTGCTGGGGAGCGTGAGGAAAATTTCACGGGTGTGAAACTGTAGTCCTGCTATGTACCCCTTAGTAGCCGTGAATACCGACGGTATTGCAAAAATACAATAACTGTTATGTAGTGTTCGTGTGACCCCCCACCCTTGGCAAAGCTCTGGATCCCAGAGACCTAAACCCTAAACGCTAAACGACTGCTACACCCCGCCCCCGCAGCATCGAACTCAAGCTTGACCCTCCTTAGCCCGACATCTTACCTCGATCGAAAACCCTCCTGCACCAAAACACTTATGGCTTTAGGGTTCTGGGGTCTGCTTGGGGTTGATAACAATCGACTTGTTGCGAGCTTGGGAGTTGGACAGGTTTCGGAGTCCGGGGCTTCTGGCTTAGCCGGCTTGAAGCAGGAGTTGGATCATGAGGTCATGAGGATTCACTTTGAGGTCTGGGTCCAGCAAAGGCCCAAAGGATTTCCTTGACCTCCTGGCGCTTCAAGCGCTATGTATGTACGTGGGCAGGAGACACCGGATGGGCGAGCTGCGAAAGTAGATGTGCCGTGGACGGGGCCTGTATCACGCGACTCGGGCTTAGCCAAAAAAGCTTGAGTCCTATCTACCCATCCAAAGTCTGAACCTGGACTCTGAACGAGCTGTCGAATGCTCCTGTGGCCTTTCACAGGATCTTCCGGCACGCTTAACACTTAAGCACTTTGGAAAGTCGGAGGTCAGTTTTTATCCTGAAGTCTTGGGGCGTCACCCAAAAGAACATCGGGCAACTGAAAGCTTTCAGGTAGCCCCTCCAGATCTCACTCTTACCCTAACCGTTTTGGCACAGCAGGAATGGCCACCGGAAATCTCTGCAGCATGGGGATAAAACAATATGCGAGCGGGCTTGTGCAAACACGGTTTGCGGTGCAATGCCCCCGACAACGTCACAGCTTTGCATTGCTGCCAGCCTTCGAACACGTGAAAGGTATGCCGGCTATGCCTGAAACCTGTACTATCTGGATCTTCACACCTCTCCCGGCAAATGGTTTGCGTTTAGCCTGGGTAAAGTATGCGAGCTAGTCAAATTCAGGTCTTCAATCCATCAGTGCGATGCACAAGCCCCCAACTTACTCATCATCCTCATCCCCAAACCAGCGCCATCGCGGAAGGTGCAAACGGCTAAGACAAAGCATGCGTAGGTTACCAACGCACGAAAAAGTGCTTCACAAGCAGGAACACTATTAATGGTAGTCCAAATGACTTGGCATGTCCGTGCACAGGCCCGCTCACCTGAGCTCTCGTCGGCGCAGTTCCAAATTTCTTGCGTAGCCAAATGAAGGCCTCTAGCACCCTGTGAGAACACACCAATAGCTTTACGGTTCAAACGACTTCAGACTCCTTACGCTGCGAAACTTCGAACAAGCCCTAAACTTCTTATTATTGAAGCCATGGTCTGGACCCGTGCACTTTTTGGTGCGCAACGCATGGGATGTGGCTCTTGTGAAGGCTGACCTCCTGTTGATTTTCGAAGCCAACGCAAGTTGAACTATTCTAGGTTTGCCTTCAAGCTCGTCTCGGCTACAAATTGACATGCAGTCTGGCACGTTGTGGCTGCAATCCTAGGTACATCTTCAGATTCGGGGCTAGCACTTGTCTCCGATCGAGCACTCTCGCCGACAGCTGCTTCTTCCCTTCCCTGCTGACCCACTCAAGTGGTGGCTGGGCGGGAACTGTGCCATCAAGGCACATGGAGTGTGCTGGCTTGGGGTACAGTGTACTGTATGGGTCAACCCTTTAAGCGGGTCAGCAGGAACAGCCCATGCTTTCCGGGACGAAGTCATCCAGATCCAGCCAATCCTTTGCTTCGAGCTTCGGGATCAAGTTTGGGCCTGGGTCTTTGAGCCCTGGAACACGCGAGCAAAGCTTCAGGATTCCGGGTTTATGGGGTTTGGGACATTGGAGAGTGATGGGGTGCCGATGGACAAAAGCTCTTTCCTGGCTGCAGGGCTTTAAGCTGAAGCTCCAAAGCCTGAAAGCCTGAACCAGGGTCAAGTGACGCTGTCTGATTCCTCTACATCGAGCTTGTTCTTCTGGAGAACCTGCCAAGCACAGCGCCATCATCACGAAAACCGAACAGCCTCCCTCCTCTGCGGGTCGGCTTGCTGTACCCCGAAACCGATTCGTCAAACTTCTCTTCATCTCCCTTCCGCGGCCCTAGACCAAGGCTTACTTCGTTCCCGAGATATGCCTTTTGCATATCCGTGCTTTGTCGCTTGTACCGTAGGACTGGAGCTTCAGGTTCTTGCGTTGTCTGTGCCTTCCGCTTTCAACAGGCTTCGGACCCGCAGGCGAAGCCACCAACTACTGCTGCCCATGAGCTCTGTGTGCTTCCAAATATGTGAAGGGTGATGGCAACAAAAACTAACACTCTGACTCTTGACCCGAACCCCGTCAAGCTGAGCCCTGAAGAGAGCTCTCAGCTACCTGAAGGCCAGAATCCATGGGCCTGCAGCTTCTTGTAGAGCTTCACCACGGTGCTGTCTGGGTTTACAGCGTGGTAGAACTCACCGTCTACCTGACTGAGAGCGGGCCCACAAGTCTAGGTATGGTGTAGGGTGGAGTGTTGGAACCTCGAGCCACCGGCTCAAACACCAGAACCCAAAATCAGCCAAGTACCCTAAACCCGTGGCCCCAAGTCCCAGACTCCACGTCCTCTATGCCGACATCTTATGCTCCAAGGCTTGAGTTTAAGAGTGTAGGCTCAGTACTACTTCCAAATATTCAAGAAGGTCGGGAACAGGCCCTGCTATTTGGGACTGTCGGGAACAGACCCGCAGGATTCTTCTCGTATTTTCTCTCTCCTCGAACTGTAAGGCATGGGGGAAATAGAGTTAAGTGTTGAGGTTCAGGTTTTGAGGCTTAGAGTCTAGCGTTTAGAACCGAAGGGCAGCCTCAAGCAAGCGGCTGCACACGAGTCTTTGCTGCGGCTTAGCTTCCGAATCGCGGATTCATGGTCGGGGACTTGTCTCTAAGAAACACAAGGCTGGCTTTGACGGACGGACCCTGTGCTTGGAGCAAGACTTCCGGGCCTACCATTGCATATCGCCCTGTGGCTAGACAGCTCGCACATCGGGCATTAATTATCACGGTTTGGTGCTCAAGATGTAATCTTGCTTCTTCCGGCGTAGTCTGGAGAGGCACTGATGATGGAGATGATGTGGACCCACACGCACACTCTAAAACCGCTGGCCTCAAAGTAGATGTTCATGCCATCGTCGTTCTTGAAATACCTGCCACGCAAGACTCAGATGTTGATGCCCGGCAGTATGGCTACATGCATCAAGGAACGACTTCCTGCAACCCTTAGGCACATGCCCTGTGACCCTTTGGTCTTCAAAAAACCCCGTGCCGTAATGGCCTAGATCCTAGGCTTTCAACCTCGGCAGCCCCGGGCCCTACATCCTAAAGCTGCCAAGCCACGAAACCTCACAGCCCCAACAATCCCAGACCATACCTAAAGCCATTGGAACTCTGAAGCACTGAAGCAAAATTGGGCCGTCAAGTGCATCAAACAAGTTCGAGGCCCAGGCTCAAGGAAGTAGGATTCACCTTGGCAAACTCTTCTCGCCTCGCGTTTTGAAGGGGGGTTGGAGCCTCCAGCTTCATGCCTGTTCGCAGCACAAGGTACAAAGAGGCATGGCGATAGCCCCCTAAATCGCCCCCCGGGTGATTCCAAAACACCCCGTACCCCTGCCGCCCCAAAACCCTCCGACATCAGCCAAACGCATGTGCCGGGCCGTCAGTCTCACTGGAACTGTGCCATGCCAGCCCTGAGCCTTGACCCTCTGAGCCTTGGCCTAGGACTTATTTTGCTCACTGACGCTGCACCCCTCTGCTCGAATGAAAACACGAAAACGAGACAGCTGCCCCATCTGGGTTCGCTTGCGATCCCTGTGTCTGAGCGGCCCAAGGCCCTTTAACAATCATCGTCGGGTGATACCAGTCAGATGAGGATGATCATCATCCGTTTCATTAACGGTGCAACTCCCACGCCTGGTGGACCAGGTTGTCCAAGGCGATGTTTGCGATGAGTGGCCTGGGCCCGGATCGACGTGGTGCCATCCGACGACGGCGTTTGCTGCGGGTTCTGGGCTTTCTAAACACCTTTGTAAAAGTGCTTTGAACCGACGCACCTTGAATCTGAGCAGTGTCAGATTCAATATCCACAGCCAAAGAGTCTTCGCACGAGAATCGTGCCGGCCGGTAGAATGATAATGCTGATGGGCAAATACAGGCCAGGGCTTCAAAAGACTTGGAAGATTGCACCTAATAGACGACTAGACTACTGCACCTCGCCATGGCAAAAG